GAAGTTTGGAAAAGCAGGGAGTAAGATTAATGGGTTGATTTAGACTTAGAATCGATCAGGAAAGGAGATCTTTGTGTTCGTGTGAACAATGTAAATCTGCTAAACGCCCGGCGGAAGCTGCAGTCAAAGTAGTAAACAAGATGTTGAGGTGGAGGAGAACTGAATGGAAAATGATATTGAAAAAGCTCCTATGTAATATAAATCAATAGTACATGCACAGCTGGGTACTATATTCAGTTCTGATGATCTATTACAGAGCAGATGTAAAAGAAATAGAGGGGATTCGGAGATGAGATGGAAGACAGCAGTGGCTGCAGGCCTAGAAATGACTTGGACTTGGAGGCGCAGAAGGAATGGAATAGATCTGTTAGGAAGAGGAAATGAGTGGAAGGACGCAATCAAAGGATGGAAGCAAAGACCTGGACAGAGGGGTATGTTTGGCTCAGCCTTTTAAGTTGCTCCTTTATGGAAACTTTAGTAACTTTCTGCAATATATAACCTGCCAGTGGGACTCGCAACACAAATGGACAGTAGCGGAGAATAATTTCCGAAGATTAAAAACGGATCTTGAAAATATCTCATTACCTGAGGCATGCAGGAAAACAGTGGGGAGCCAAACTAAACTTTTAAGGAAGATAGCTCCTCTGATACTACGTTAGCAAATTATGGCCCATATTAGTCACAGATGTGAATTAAAGAGATAGTCTGAAATGTAAAAATCCCCTTTAAACTGGAGAACATTATTAACAGATCTTAGTGTATAGTCAAAGCAAGTTAAAGCCTGGGAAAACTTTTCTTACAGGAGAGACCCAATAAATCCAATCTGATATTCTTAATACTGTTTAATATAAGCCACAGCCTTTAGGAAACATAATGCAAAACAGAACTAAAATAATGCTGTACATAGATGGCTACCTCTTAGATGTAGATCATTTTTGCATTACTTCTGAAAGGTGCTCATGTCCCAGATTGCTCACTATTCAAAATAATAGGGGGAGTGAAATTAAGATGCCAATTCCCTTTATTCGGGATCCTGCCCTGTTATCGCGCATCAATGGAAGCATGGCATAAACACAGTGAGTGGCACTCAACTAAGTTTTATTCAAAGTAGACCCACTAAAATGGATGAAAATTGCTCCATTAGAGCCATTGATTTGAGTGCGCCCACTCTGAGCAAAGCACAGTTGAGTAACACCCAATCTCTTAAGAGCGCAACACTTTCTTGTAAAAATATACTGACAGGATTACTTGAGTAAAAACATGGGCGGCCAGGAAAATAGGGTGGAGGCACACGGCCATTTAGCAGACGCCAGATCTTTGAACAGTTTTGTAGGACTGCTCAAGGGAGGCAGCAAAGCATCTTCAACCAGAACCCATCCTTCTCAAGCTGAGAAAGGATCCTGAACTTCTGAAGTACTAAGACAGGGATAGCCGACGTAGTGTCATGTAGATATGGGCCACAACTCCAATTGTAGCCCCAGCCAGTTTAGCGAATTGTCAGGGATGATGGGAGTTGTAGTCCAATAACATTTGGCAGGCACCATGCTGGCTGTCCATGTACTGAGAGAAAGGCACCAGTTACATAGAATCATCGAACTGTAGAGCTGCCAGGGAAGCCAAGAGTCATTTAGTTCAACCCCCTGCAATGCAGGAATCACAACTCAAGCATCCATGGCAGGTGCCCATCAAACAGAATAATAGAATCAAAGATTTGTAGAGTTGGAAGGGACAACAAGGACCATATAGGCCAACCCCCTACAACAACAACAACAACAACAATTTATTATTTATACCAGAAAGCAGCCTTTTAGTTTTTTCAGACGTAGAGTCCATCCTTCACCCCAACCTGCTACTTGTTACCTAGTTTTCAGTTGTTAATATAGAAGCCCAATTTTCTGCTGCCTTCTCCCTTCCCTTTCTCCTTCATCTCCCAACATCTTCCCACTGTATCCTATGTTTCCCATATTCTTAAAAAAACACACACTAAGGGACTTAAAAGAAAAGGAACAGTTGTGCTCCTGGTGTGACCCAACCCAAGGTTGTCTCACAACACAGCTTTGGGTCCCCAACCCTCTAGCTTATTGCATTGTACTATTAACAACAACAACAACAACAATTTATTTATTTGTACCCCGCCCATCTGGCTGGGTCCCCCCAACCACTCTGGGCGGCTTCCAACAAAACACTAAAATACAATAACCTATTAAACATTAAAAGCTTCCCTAAACAGGGCTGCCTTTAGATGTCTTCTAAGTTTGGTAGTTCCACAGGGCGGGTGCCACTACCAAGAAGGCCCTCTGCCTGGTTCCCTGTAACTTGTCTTCTCGCAGTGAGGGATCTGCCAGAAGGCCCTCGGCGCTGGACCTCAGTGCCTGGGCAGAACGATGGAGGTGGAGACGCTCCTTCAGGTATACTGGACCGAGGCCGTTTAGGGCTTTAAATACAGGAATCTTTTGCCCAACCCGGGGCTCAAACCCATGTCCCTGAGATTAAGAGTCTCATGCTTCACTGACTGAGTCAGGTTTATTAAGGATATTTATCGCTTTCCACTACCAAAAGTCCCAAAGTGATTTACAACCGGAAGAAAAACACCACAGTGAAAATACATATTGAAACCATAATCTGAATAAAAACATCCAATCCCAAATGCCTGGGAGAAGGAAAAAGTATTTTCTTGGTTCCAAAATGATGACCAAGTTGGTGCCAGGCCTCCCTGAGGAGAGGGTTGTTACACGTCAAATGGAAGTATTTCTTTTTCCCTGACTCAGACAAACCATTGTTTGCTCATCAAGTAGCTAGAATTTCAAAGCATGTGAGAAAACATTACTGCCTTCACACTCTCCTTCCAAAGCTGCGGTTACTTCTGTGTCGTCGCAAGCAAAGGCTCCTGAAGGAAGCAGGTCCCTTTTAAGGCAAGGGCATCATTCATCACGGGACGCCACTGGCTACCTAGAGGAAACCGGAAACCTACTCAAGGTTTCCTCAGAGATTGCTAGCTGTTAAGCAGCATTCAAGTAAGGCTTCTCTACAGTGGTGCCTCGCAAGACAAAAATAATCCGTTCCGCGAGTCTCTTCGTCTAGCGGTTTTTTCGTCTTGCGAAGCAACCCTATTAGCGGATTAGCGGATTAGCGCTATTAGCGGCTTAGCGGCTATTAAAGGCTTAGTGGCTAAAAGGCTATTAGCGGCTTAGCGGCTTAGAAAAAGGGGGGGGGGAGCGAAAAAAAATCGCAGGACTAGCAAGACGTTTTCGTCTTGCGAAGCAAGCCCATAGGGAAATTCGTCTTGCGAAGCAGCTCAAAAATGGAAAACCCTTTCGTCTAGCGGGTGTTTCCGTCTTGCGAGGCATTCGTCTTGTGGGGCACCACTGTAGTTTCCAGGTCCACTGGGAGCTGTCCGTTGTGCTAACCACATCCCTGCTTGTCCTTTTCCGAGACCTGACCTCCACTTGTTACCTTGTTTGTGGAACCTGCCCCTAGCTAGCCATCCTGGAACCTGAACTCACCATCCGTATTCATGTTTGTGGACCTGCCTTCCTGGAATTTGACCTGGGCTTGGTCGAACTCTGCTCACCAAGCCCTTCCTTGCCACAGTGATCTCAAGAAGCCAGTAGCAGGGATGGGGAGAGAGGAGAACAAATGGCTGCTGACTTGCTCTCCGCATGACCATGGGTATGGAGTTAACTACGCAGGCAGTTTACAGATACTTGGAGGATGTACTGTGGAGCTGTTACTGCACAGAGGACACACACATCAATGTGGTGTGTGTCACTGTGATCTCTGGTCAAATCTGATTTTCACAGTTCTGTAGCTCTCTAGGGAGTATGCAGGGAAAGGAGAAGCAACCCCACAGGTGTGAAAGTCGCAGGTACTACCCAACAGGTGCCTGGTGATGAGTAACACACACTGTGCCTAGGGCATCTTTGGTTCTGATTTTACAAATCTGAGAAGGAACGGAGTGGTTGTGCAACCTTCGAAAAATAAAGGAGCAGAGTTTTGATTAGGAATGCAACTCTTCTTCTTCTTAATTAAATTTCTATACTGCCCTTCACCTGAAGATCACAGGTTTACTACACACACCCCCCATAATCAAGAGAAGTTCTAACAATTCTCCTCACTTCCAATGTTCTTTAGTCATAGAGCAGAGCTGTATCCTGTGCTCAGACGTTTGTCCTATTAAGTTCTGTGGGACTTATTCCCAGGTGCCGTATTTTTCGCTCCATAAGACGCACCAGACCACAAGACGCACCTAGCTTTTGAAGGAGGAAAACAAGAAAAAAAATATTCTGAATCTCAGAGGCCAGAACAGCAAGAGGAATCGCTGCACAGTGAAAGTAGCGATCCCTCTTGCTGTTCTGGCTTCTGGGATAGCTGTGCAGCCTGCATTCGCTCCATAAGACGCACACACATTTCCCCTTACTTTTTAGGAGGGGAAAAGTGAGTCTTATAGAGCAAAAAATACGGTAAGTGTGTAAAGGATTGCAGCCTTAGTGTATTGGGAGAAAGAAACAAGAAACCAAGTCCTTTTCACTCACCTCTGAAGCCACAAACTGCTGCACTGCTGAACTTTTCACAGCACAATTCTGTCATTGCTAGCTATGATTTTTTTTCATTGTAAATTCTGTCTCAGGCTCTGCTAAGACCTACTATAACTCTTGTGGAATAAGCTCCCTCTATGTCATATTCTTCTTCGGCAGATCATGACTCTTGCTGACATGTTCATTGAGAGAGACTTTACTCTTCCTCCCCCCCTCCCTCCAAATTGGCTGGCTAAATTATTAACACAGCTATAAAGATGGCACTAAATCATTGGCAGAAGGGCAGCACGACAAAATTGCAGCATAATCTCTCATTTCGTTGCCAGATGTCTGTTTGATGCAGATTTTGCTAAACAGTGCGACAATAGCAGAAAGCCCGCCTGCAGAAGCAGTGTGCCTGTGTGTGCTTATACATCTACGTATATACAAGAGAGTGAGAGTATGTAAATCTAAAACAGAAGTTACCTGGGTAAGGAGGCATATTGTCTTTCTCTTCCCTCAAACTGGAGATGGTGCGAAGTCCCATCTGGAGTTTTTCCAGGCACCTGTGGAGAACAGCATAATTAGAGATGACGATCAATTATTCAACCCAGTTACTGACAATGTTTCTCAAAATGATAATCAGAAAACAAATGAGGCGCCAGCATGCCAAAATCAACAAAGAAAAAACGCTGAGGCTCAAGGGGAACCCACATTAATCTTACCACTATTATTAACATTAAATATATACATAGAACAAAAGAGTGCTTGTTTTGCCATTCTTTTTGCAGTCCAGAAGAGATGCCGTCAATTTGTACATAACATGGGGCAACAGAAAAAGACGTTCTGTATCCTACAGTATCCAAAGACATTCTGTATCCATAAAAAATAAGAAAAAGAATCAAGAATAATATTGGATGAAGTGAAAGCAGCCATTGTTCATTCTGGACCATCTTACGACTTGGGCCCAAGATAGCTACTGCATTTTTCGCTCCATTTTTCTAGTTTTAGAGGAGGAGAACAAGAAAAAAATAAATTCTCTCCCTCTCTGCGCAGCGCCCCTTCAGCAAAGCGGCAGGAGAAACGGAGCCCCTTCCATTTCTCCTCCCGCTTCGCTGAAGGGGCGCTGCGCAGAGGGAAAGCTGCGCTGCGCCTCTCCAGTGAAGCGAAGCCAGGAGAGCAAGAGTGATCGCTGAAGCCATGGAGCCTGCATTCGCTCCATAAGATGCACACACATTTCCCCTTGCATTTTAGGAAGGGAAAAGTGCGTCTTATAGAGCGAAAAATACGGTATATCTGAACTGCGATGCACGCCATCAATAGGGTGCACAAGTCTCTCCAACTCAGTTCTCCAATTTACAAATGGGAATATTGTAGGGGTGACATCATAAAGGAACGTTAAAATATTTTGCACCCCCAAAGTATACCGGGAAGGAATAATCATTAACTGAAATAGCTCAGAACCCACATCTGCTTTCACTTTCCATCTCCTTGTCACTCCCATTTTTTTACGAGGCAGCAGCAGCCTCCAGCGCTACAGCTACAACTATGGTTTGTCAACTCAGACACAATGAAAACCATACGTTAGCACACACCATGGTTTGAAAACCTTTTTGTAGCCATCATTTCTGATTCTGGCTTGCTGGCTGATCTCAAAGCATGACCTGTCAATTCAGCATTCTCAACTGTGGGCGGACATGCTATCTAAACTGAGCCAATTGCCTTATTAATGTGAATAAAATTTGGGCTCTTCATCTCTACCTCCCTCCCTGCCCCTTGCCAGGGCCACAATGACACAAGCTTTTGCTTCCATTTTAAGTTAAGGGCAGTTACTTGTTATGGCTGAACCCAGATGTTATTTATTTATTGACATATTAATAGCCCACCTTCCCCTGCAAAGATCTCAGGACAAAGAACAGTGAAATTACACTTCGAAACGCCAATCTACAACACATTAAGTGCAGAATAAAATTCATATTTCAATCAATCATCAAAATGCAAATGCCTACAAATTCTAGCTGAACATTAAAACTTTCCAAAGGCCGGAGTGATTTAGTCATGCTTTCTCCTGGCATGTAAATGGGAAAGAGAGAGCGAGAGTTGACAGACTGCAGAGGAGTTTCACAACTCGGATATCATGGAGAAGACCCTCTCAGATCACTGCATGATGTTTGACACCCGATGTCAGAATGCAAGACTGAGCCTCCCTAGCTGATCTTAACACACCCAGGCAGGACTATATTTAGAGAGGCATTCAAGCTTTTAAAGTCCCAGGTCATTCAGGACTTGATAAGTCATGACCAATACATTGAGTCAACCTCAAGGGCAGTCCTCCACAGAGCATGTTTCCTACATTTATAACTTGCCATGGGACACTCGACAGAATGCATGTGATTCCCAGGTAACCACTCCATTTGAAACCATGGCATACAATATTGGTTTGTCTCCTTACACCTGCCTTTGCCAAACTGGTGCTCTCCAGAAGTTGTTGGGTTCTGACTCCATCAGCCCCAGTGGCATGGCTAAGGCTGATGGGAGCTGTAGCCAAAAAAAAAAAATAAATAAAAAAAAATCTAAAAATCTGGAGGGCACCAGGTTGGGGGAAAGCTGTCCTAAATTACAGTTAATAAAAATGAACGATGATTTCAAGCACTGGCATAAGGATAAACCATGGTTAATTTAAAATATTACGGTCCGCATAGTTAAAGCCATGGTTTTCCCAGTAGTGATGTATGGAAGTGAGAGCTGGACCATAAAGAAGGCTGATCGCCGAAAAATTGATGCTTTTGAATTATGGTGCTGGAGGAGACTCTTGAGAGTCCCATGGACTGCAAGAAGATCAAACGCATCCATTCTTAAGGAAATCAGCCCTGAGTGCTCACTGGAAGGACAGATCGTGAAGCTGAGGCTCCAGTACTTTGGCCACCTCATGAGAAGAGAAGACTCCCTGGAGAAGACACTGATGCTGGGAAAGATGGAGGGCACAAGGAGAAGGGGGCGACAGAGGACAAGATGGTTGGATAGTGTTTTCAAGGTTACCAGCATGAGTTTGACCAAACTGCGGGAGGCAGTGGAAGACAGGAGTGCCTGGCGTGCTCTGGTCCATGGGGTCACGAAGAGTCGGACACGACTAAACAACAACAATACAAGAGGACCAGAGATACAATAACAATTGGAATAAATTTATTGAATATATAAAGGAGAACAACAAAGATATTAAGACACTAGCAGGACTGGAATAACACCTCCAATGTAAAACAGTAAAGTTATGACAATAATGTACTCAAGAAGTATGTGATGTATATACCAGCGGTTGGGCTTGGCAGGGGGTTGGACTCGATGGCCCTTGTGGTCTCTTCCAACTCTTATGATTCTATGATTCTAAGTCAGGACTCGGCAGAGTCAAAGGGATTATAATGTGACAATAAGGATTGTTGGGGAAAGAATTACATGTTGAAAACAATAAAAATTTATTTGAAAAATAAAATATATGTGAGGTATGAGCAGAGGCTTATGCATGTAACACTAAACCATAGTTTGCCATTACGACTGAACGAGATCAATGTCTGCTGATGACTCAAAGTATTAAGAGGCTTCTTCAAATGTACTTGTAATTCTCTAGCAAACGCAGGAGCTGCTGTGGCTGGGTTCCCTGTTTCTTACATTAGCATGTGTTCCTATCCTGCTACCGCTTGAATCAGCAATTTTATAAAGCAATGTACCAAGAGGCCATTTGAAATATTTTTTCTGTTACTTCCACTCTTTGCTCCAGCACAGATTAATGGAAGAGAAAGGGGACAGGATTTAATGTCTTCTCGAAACATTGTTAACAATTTATGTAAACTTATTTTTATATGGTGTTCATTTTGTCTCTGCATATAATGCATAATGCGCACACAATCTAAAATTAGCATGTTCGTCAGGATTCTGCGATTCTGCAGGTTAGACTGCACTTCTTCCAGTCCTGCAATTTATGCATAGCATGTCAAGTTTTGCTGAAGACGAGTAAAAGCTGCTGTGACAGAAAGGCTGTGTGAAACAAACTGCACAAAGGTTTGTTGCTCTGTACACTGGTACCTCGGGTTAAGTACTTAATTCGTTCTGGAGGTCCGTTCTTAACCTGAAACTGTTCTTAACCTGAAGCACCACTTTAGCTAATGGGGCCTCCTGCTGCTGCCACGCGATTTCTGTTCTCATCCTGAAGCAAAGTTCTTGGGCAAAAAAAGTTCTTGGGCAAAAAAAATGAGAGGCACAAATACAAGATGGGGGACACCTGGCTTGAGAGCAGTACATGTGAAAAGGATCTAGGAGTCTTGGTTGACCACAAACTTGACATGAGCCAACAGTGTGACGCGGCAGCTAAAAAAGCCAATGCAATTCTGGGCTGCATCAATAGGAGTATAGCATCTAGATCAAGGGAAGTAATAGTGCCACTGTATTCTGCTCTGGTCAGACCTCACCTGGAGTACTGTGTCCAGTTCTGGGCACCACAGTTCAAGAAGGACACTGACAAACTGGAACGTGTCCAGAGGAGGGCAACCAAAATGGTCAAAGGCCTGGAAATGATGCCTTATGAGGAACGGCTAAGGGAGCTGGGCATGTTTAGCCTGGAGAAGAGGAGGTTAAGGGGTGATATGATAGCCATGTTCAAATATATAAAAGGATGTCATATAGAGGAGGGAGAAAGGTTGTTTTCTGCTGCTCCAGAGAAGCGGACACGGAGCAATGCATCCAAACTACAAGAAAGAAGATTCCACCTAAACATGAGGAAGAACTTCCTGACAGTAAGAGCTGTTCGACAGTGGAATTTGCTGCCAAGGAGTGTGGTGGAGTCTCCTTCTTTGGAGGTCTTTAAGCAGAGGCTTGACAACCATATGTCAGGAGTGCTCTGATGGTGTTTCCTGCTTGGCAGGGGGTTGGACTCGATGGCCCTTGTGGTCTCTTCCAACTCTATGATTTTATGATTCTTAACCCGAGGTACTATTTCTGGGTTAGCGAAGTCTGTAACCTGAAGCGTATGTAATCCCGAGGTACCACTGTATGCAAATGTTTTGTGCATAAACTTTCCGGGGCATGTTTCCCTGGACAACACCCCAACTTGACCAATATTATTATATTAAAGCAGTGCTTCCCGAACTTTGGGTCAAACACATGGGGAAGAAACAACAGCCCTAAGACACCAGGGCCGTCCTATTTCTCTGAGCGTGCTTATGCGTTCACAAACGACGTTCATTCACAACGGTGGACTTGATTATGAGCAAAGTACAACAAAGTCCTGATTTGGCTGACAAACCAGAACCTGACATGAGGTGTATACCACATATCAAACTCTGTCAAACAGAGTTTGATGTGAGGTATACATCTAATATTACTCCCTGCTGGTTCCTGCCCTGGGCCATCTTCATTTTGAAAAACAAATCTGGCCTGTGAAAACTTGTTGGCTTGGTCTAACTTCCGCTTTAATTTTCCACCATTCTCCAGAAAGCTACTGTGGAAAATTTAGAAGGGTATCCTGCAGCCTCCCTGCACTGCTTGAAGAATAGCTGCTTGAGGATAGTTGTGTTATGCTGAAGCTTGTATTTTGCC